TCACAGTTTGACAAACCATGGATCTGACCACATGCTCTTATGTGTAAAACAATGAAGAAAATACTACTTATCGGGATCTATTTTATAATCTTTATTTTATTTTACTTTGTTGGTTTTTGGTTTTTAAGTCTGGAATTGAATTTATCTGAATCATTTTAAAGTTTTGGAAATGGTGAGACAATAAAATGGTTAACTAGTTCTATTTGTGTATTGTATAGATTTGTTGACAATCTCTTATCATGTGTCCAATGCTCCATGGACAAGAATTAGGAGTAGTGTTGTTATTTGACAAGAACAATACATAGAAACACAAACCATGTTAACACAAGAAATAACCATATAATGACCAGAAAGTTTTGAGTTATTAGTGTTAGTTGTTATTGTTTATGTAATACTCTTGTTAAACGAGAAATCACAGTACATGTTATCTTTTGTATCTCAAGTATTACCTAATAAAATTTTCTACCTATAAAAAATTAGACTACGTCGTTGATTTACAGTACAACATGGAGAAATTTTTGTATGCGGATAGAGTACATGGCTTCTTCTGCATCTCATAAAACAACTCCAATGGTGCCATATTCCCCTACGTACAACAGAAATCGAAGACCCCAAAAACCAACATAAATTGTTGATTTCAAAAGAAAACGGCAATGGACAACACAAATGCACTGTAGCTGACAAGAGATAAAGAAGGAAATTAATAGACAAACTCAACTAATAGAAAACATAAATTGCACAACATATATTTTTTTTATGTTTTGTTGATTAAAAAAAACAGTGATTTATGCATCGTGACGTTCGCACATAATATCCAACCTCAATGGTAACTGTTACAATTATAATAAGGGTGGTAAAATTGAGTTGAGATTCTCTCTTTAGTCTCTTTTCTTACCTTCCTACTTGTAATGGTGGAGATGTACTCCAAAATGATCCAATGGTCTAGATCTGACTATTTCAATTTGATTTAATTTTATTTTTTTTTTAGATAGTCAAATCTAGACCGTTAGATCATCTTGGGTGCATCTCCACCGTCACAAGTAGAGAGACAAAGAGAGAGACCAAGGAGAGAACCTAAACTCAGTGAGAATGCAAGGAGGCTCTAAATGCATCCCAAGAATTAGGTTAGACACCCCATCATTTTAAGCACCCCAATAATAAATTTGAAATTTTATTTATTTATTTGGACACCCCCAAATAACACATATCCTAATCCTAAAACCCTATATAAATATACTTTGTACACCTCATTACCCATAAACGGGAGAACAAAATCATAAGAGAATTTCAAGCGACGAAATCCAAGACGAAAAGGGATTCCATGTGACGAAAGTCTCCTCCCACTCTATATCCATCGCCAGTCTCCTCCCACTCTACATCAGACGATGATCTCCTCCCACTCTACATCCACCAGCGGCTACAGGTTTCCGAATACTCAGTGTCGAACACAAGAAAATCGGTTTCAGTTATTTCATATAGATACTCAGTGTTGAACAAAATATATTTGTCCGGATACTTAATTCCAAACATACGAAATTTGTTTAAATACTCAATGTCGAACACAAGAAAATTGATTTCAGTTGTTTCATATTGATACTCGGTGCCAAACAAAATATATTTGTTCAGATACTTAATTCTAAACATATGGAGTTTGTTGGGATACTCACTTCCGAATGAATTTGGAAAACCAAACTACAAAAAACAATGAACAACAATTAAAACTACTTTCTCTATAGAAAATTGTTTGAAAACATTTTCTTTATTGTCCATTGTTGATTTCAATATAAAATAGAATGCAAGAATGATGAATTAAAGCAAATAGGGTTGGGTATGAAGATGTAAAATGATGAAAGTAGAAAGAGAAGAGAAAAAAGGAATATTAAGGCTGATGATTAATAAAGTGTCTAAAATACTTTTATTTACACTTTTTCCAGTGTCAAGTCTTTTTTAATCATTTTAAATAGAGACTTAATAGTAATAAAAAATTATAATTAAATTAGGATGTCCAATCTAATTTTTGAGGTGTAAATAAAGAGTGGTGCTATTAACACTCTATCTATTATTTTGGACTCCCCATTTCTTTGGACCCTCACTTATAAATTTTGAAATCCTTAAAATTTCTTTTCTCCCTCAAAATAATACCAAAATTATTCTTGTAAAAACATTTCATCTATTCAATTAAATGCATACCCCCTACACCCCAAAAAGAACCTCTCTTCCAAAACCCTGAACAAAACCCACGAAAAAGAAGAAGAAGAACCAAGTATGATTACTGTCTCTGCCGCCTCATTCTTTTCTTCGGTTTAACCATTGGCACAATTGATATGCTTTCTATCTCTCTCTCTGTCTCTTTGTCGTCTCATCTTTTTCTTCGATGATTAATATTCGGTAACCTGTTTCCAAACAAATAATAAATGTTCAGTTACCGGTTCCCAAGCAAATAAACAATATTTGGCCTTGTGTTCCCGAATTTCGATCATATGTTCGGGAGTTCAATCCCGAAAAAATGACGAACAGATTTTATTATTTTTGCTTTTTTTTTTAAGAGACCTACCCTTACAAGCCCAATCTCCTCTGAGCTAAGAACATCATCAAAGTTATGAACCTCCTTTGAACTTTTATTGTTGTACTCTTCTCGTCTCATGGAGTTGTAGTTGCCGAAAAAACTTTCACTCATTGTCATTGCCCGAAAAATGTAGGTAATCAAATGATTGCTGTCGTCACCGCTAAAATATTACCGCCAAAGGATTTTCAAAATTTTGAGGGTGAGCAAGTTTTGAATGTAGGATTTGGAAAAGATTGATGGATGGTAATAGAGGTGGGTACACTTATAAATCCTAATTCATGATATAGTGAGTGTGTGAGTTTAATTATGAGATGGGTTGTCCCAAAATTAATGATGCTCCTTTAAGTAATTTTATTTGAAGTTATTATTGTAATGAAAATAAAATAAAATAAAATAAAAAAGAGTTAAAAATTGAGGGATCTAAAATAATTTATGAAGTATTAATAACAACACCCTAAATAAAAACTCCCCACGCATTTCATGCACATTTATTTAAAAGGACATTTTTACCCTCAAAGATAATTATTGCTCTCTAATCACCCCCCCCCGGGTGTTATTGCATCTCATCACCCGTCAGAATAGCAAGATCAAATTTATCTTCTCAGAACCATAACCCAACCAATTTGATCAAGATTAATTTCTTCACCATCGATCTAGCTCAAGCTCTCTCACCGTTAATACACCTCATCACCCGTCAACATCATTGTCAAAGCTCATTTGGATCAATCCACGATGACCTAGCTTAAGACTCGTTTGGAAACAGGCTAATTCAGTAACTTTTTGACTATTTAGCTAAAATATGAACTAAAAAAAATTAGTATGTTTAGGATAACTTTTTGACTTTTTACAAAAAGATGTGCAAAAAGTAGAGAAAAAAGAGAATCTTTGACTTTTTGGTATGAGTTGTTGATTTCTTTTCACAATCTATCATGACTCTACATCAATCTGATAAAACACTTTTTTCTACCGATCAAGCTCTCCATCTCCATTCCATCAATAGGGGATCATATTGGGAGGGATAGTCAAATGTGACAATTATAGTGTTACGCCCCCTCCTGTAGTTAGTGGTTTTGGATTTTACTTGTCATGATCATTATTGTTATTTGGTTCATCCATGGCTAACTTGGGAATAGAAAGCTCAAATTACTTGGAAAATATTCAGTTCTCTGAAATTGACTTACCAACTACCGATATTGGTTCTCACATTGAATTGGGATTGGTAATAGCCAACTACTTGAATTGGAGCTTGAGCATATTTTAAGAATGATTCCCAAAGGTCAAAGGCAATGGATTTGCATTATTAAGATTCAATTTCGAACATGAAATAAAGTAGCAAAGTTTAATCAAAAGGTGTTTTGAGTTTTGTGAGAAAGGATGATCCCAAAAGATTGAAATTACAGTAGAAAGTTAAGGGAAATAAGAGGAAAAAAAGAGGGAGAAGATAAGAAAGGATTAGAGACAATGAGAAAGAGAGCAGACAAAAGAACCAAGAGGGAGAGGAGAGAAAAAAGAAATAGAAAAAGAGAGTAAGATGTGTCAACTGTCATGATTATTTCAACAAAAAGGTCCTTTTAAATAAATGATCAAGGAACAAACCATTACTTCCCACCCCACAAAATTGTTCCTTGATCATCATTTCTCTTCCCTCCTCCAGCCGCAACCACTCCGGCCACCTCCCAACTCATTCTTCTCAAATGAAGCCTAAGTGAAACCCAAGCCTCTCTCTCTCTCTCCCCCCTTCATTATGAAACCCTAGCCACGAAGGGTATAAAGGCCACAGGAGTAGGGATTGTAAAGGTGTTGCTGTGAAAGAGTAGGGGTCGTGAAGATGCAAGGTTGCGAAGGTGGTGGTCACAGCAAAGGAAGTTGCTTGCTAGAGAAGGGGTGTTGTTGCGCAATTGAGGGAGTGGGGATCACAATGGCGGGGCTATGGAGGGTGGTGATCATGGCAGTGGAGGGAGGGGTTGTGCGAGGATGGATAGGGAAGGGCTTGGGGTAGCAGCTGGAGCTGGGGGATGCACATGGGTACAACAATCGGAGCTGGTGATGGTTGCCGAAGTTGGTGGTGGAAGTGGGTTTAGGGTCAGGGTTCTAGAAGTTAAAGAGGATGTGGGCAAAATGAAAATTTTATTATACGGCAAAATTGCAACCACCTTATTTATTCATAAATGGTGAAGGTCTAAAGAAATTATGTAGGGGACATTTAGCCACACCCTTTGGTGATATTATCAGCACCCTTATAACAAATGCATGCTAAACTATCATTTTAAAATAGGAGTAAAAATGTAATACAAAAAAATATTAAATTTAAGAGTGCTACTCCAACTCAAAACGTTTTTAAAAATGGGTAGGTAGGTTATTTTTTTGTGGTAAGCACTAGTCTACAAGATCATTTGGTGGGACTTCAAAGACTTAGTTGATACAAACCTCCCAATAGGAAAACGAACGAGGGTAATAATATCCCTATAAATTATTACATAAGTTGTTGATTCCTTTAAGATGTGTTTTCTTTAGTGTAATGTATTTAATTATTACAAACACTATCAATTAAGTTCAAAGAAAAAACACTCTACACAACTGATTCAAAAACTTGTCGCAATAAGGAATAAATACAAATGCAACAAATGGGAAAAGAAACTCACGAGAACATAACAAAGACAAGGAAGATAATGGAGAGGCAAGGCTACGAAACTCCTTGAAATGACAACCGGTCTCGAAGCGTATCAAATATAGATGAAGCTGCAGCATTTTGTGCAAAACTCAACTTCAATCGACCAAGTAGCTCACCATCTTTGGCCTGAGATGCGGCATCCGCAGCTTCCTTGGCCATGCCAATTCGAGCATAAGCCTGTTCATAATTTACACAAGGGACACCAAGTTATTGATCTGGTAACTATTAATTACTATGGCTTTGCCAATTACATAAATAACAGAATGAAATGGGGCAGTTTGGTGCAGCTTACGAAGCTGCTTGTGACCTTTTTTTTTTTCTTTTCTTTTTTGAAAACCTGTTTCAGAATGTTTAATGCAGCTTCTATTTGCAACTTATGAGGCAGAAATAGCCAAATAAAAGAATAAAAATTGAGTATTAACTTTTGCTTTCTAATTATCAACTTTCAACTTACTAGAAGTTGCACCAAACAGGCCCAATATCACACTAGACTGGTTGAGAACCAAGTCAGAGGAGAGTGGTTGTAGTTTATAAAACTACTCCAATGCCCAATTGTGTTAATATTTCCTCAGTTATTGTCCTTTGCAAGACTTCTCAGCACTCAAGTATATACTTAATATGTTCTTGTGGTAAGAAATTAGTGCAACTAGCAAATTCCAAAACTCATAATATTTTCAAGCATATGTATCGAAAAATTCCATTTACCTCAGCTCTCTCCCGTGGATCTGCAAGTTTTGGGATATATTTCAATGCTTCACCTTTCTCATCTGCATCAATGCATGACTCAACAAATGGCCGATAACCTATTTGACACCAAAAAAAAAAGGCATCCAATTCAGCAATTGTTTTTTTTCATACAAGTTCATCACATCATCATATCAATAAAAAAAATGACAAGTTTGATTCTTGACTACAACAATCGGGACATCAAATTATCTTATCATATGGAATTCAGGTCATTACGCGCTACTCATCCACCCACTCAAAACAACCCATGCTGACATTCGAGATAAAGACAAGTACAGATTACATCCAAACAGAGTTATTTTTTTCTTCATAATGAGTCTTCATGGTTTGCTCTATGAAATTAATCATGTTTTGGATAGCTTACCAATTGGTGGTCTTTTCTCCTTTGAAAACTTTTCTAAGGCATCCCAATCCCTAATTGTAGCCAAAGCGAAAACTTTAAGCCAATACCATCTCTTTTCTGAAACCTGAGGAAAGTTAACAACATACAATATTTAAAATGCAAAAAGGTAAAAAATAAATAAGCTGGGGACTAAAACAAAGAGAAGCACAACAGATATCAATAGTAGGTATCAAATCTACTCATGGATGACAGAGGCACGGAAGGAACTTTACAAACCTTGAATTCTGTTCTAACTTTCATCGCAGCCCGATGATTTCCCAGTACAATACATGTGCGAATGGTGTCGCTAATACTTGAATCCACAAAAATGGCCTGCTTTGTTGCCACTTCTAAATCATGTTGTATTCTGTAGCAATAGGAGAGTTAGTAATGAGAGATGCTGCAATCACCAAAAAATATAAATGAGAGATTTAAGTCATACTCCCCAGGATGCAAGTTAAAAAAATTTCAATAATATTTGGTTTTATCACCCACTTGTATGTTGAACATCCATGTATCCAAAGCTACTAGCAATGATATCATTTGACACCTACAGGGAGTGTTGGCAAACCATGGCATGTTATCTTAAAATGGTATCAACCTACAGAGGCAGGCCTAACATGATTTACAGTTTCAAGCATACAATTATAAACTTTTTTCACAACAACACTAGAGATTTCAGCATAGTAGTGGACAATCTTGTGAATAAAAGTATCCTCATGAAAATTTCCATTCACAAAAAAAAATAAAAAATAAAAAAAATAGAAGAAGAAGAAGAAGAATAAGAATAAGACTACTATGTCTCTCCCTCAATTACAGTCGAAATGTTTTTGTTTCACACCAATTTCACCAAATCCTATGAAAAGCCAAGTTGACAAGTGACCGCATGGACCACTTTAAAACTTGTATGTCGACTGATATAAAATACTGGATGAAGTACTCCATCCAAGACAGGGTGGCAAATGTGCATCAATGAGATTCACTAATTTTGAAAATGACATTGCGAAAGAAGACTTTCGCTGAAAATGAAGTTGTGGAAGAAGACATTCTTCAAAGTTACATAATGACTAGGCTGATTCCTCTTTTCAAATAAAGAAAAATGCTTGCACCAATTAATTCATACATAGTAAAAAAACTAATTTTCATTTATAATTATTTTCTATCATGTACATCTATAGAAACTCCAAATCCTGCACTATGGTTAGTTATCGTGACATAAAGGTCTTAAGTCACAACAATTGACACCAAACTGCACAGCCTAGATGTGATTAGATTTGTCAATGTACCAATGGAATAGTTATGAACCAAACATGTGAGCAACAGATTCACCTTAACAATTTTGCATGCTCTTCAGCAGCCTTTGACTCAAATGTATGTTCCTTTGTTTCCACAAAGAGACTTTGAGCCTTTTCGATAAGTTTTATGCGTGGACCATGAAGGGGAGATCCTTTGCTTGCCATCGGATTTTTTGCTAGTTCCCATGACTCTTTCCACAAAAGAAAAGAGACCTCCTACAAAAAATCAAATATAGTATTACAAGAGCAGAAGTAGAACATAGCAATTAGCATATAATTCATCATATTGTTAATCAGAATTAAATCAGATACATCCTGCATCTTTTCATTTTTTATTAATGAATTTGTTAGATCCCATATAATTTTACAACAGCTTAAAAAATAAAATTGAATTAAATTCATAATATACTGCAGGATAACATTAAAGAATGTTTCCTAACTTTAGTTTGCAGAGAAAGAGGGACACACACACAGACCCTGCAGCTTGCCTCTTTATCACTTGCAAATTTATTTACATGCACATAGCATTTCACTGCACAAGATTATCATAAAACCTATCAAATATTCAAGACATCTCATACAGCAAGCCGTAACTTGTCTAGTGAGAATACAATTCCTCAAACAGTGAAGCAGAGAGGAGATCTGATTATATTTTGAGCATGTAAACATTAAATAATGACAAACCCATATGTCCTTGTATCCGTTTGTTAAACCGTAAAAATAACCTATGTTGGGGAATGACTAATATATTACTGGAATAACCAACTATAACTAACTGCCATATCCATGCATAAATGACATAGCATATTGCAGCCAATACATGATATCCATTAAAAGAAAAATAAAAATGCAGGAACAAGATTTTAACCCACATAAGTCGAGTCAACCTACTTGAAGCTGCCCAGTCGAAAGAAAGAAGTCCGTCAGAAAATCATGCTTACAGCATCTGCACAAATAAAGAAATAATAACAGGTTTACATAACGAGGTCCTCAGATTAAAGAAACAACCCTCAAAAGAGTCAAATAGAGTGTACCCACCGTGCATAACTTATAAATAAATCACGTGCCAGTGTTCTGGCCTGTATCATTCCAAATAACTCCAATGGTGGCCTCTGTGTTTAACAAATGTATGTAGAAAAGACAAAAAAAATCACAACCCAAGAAAGTGAAATTCGTTTGCACTCCATAAATGTTAATGGATTCATCTATAGAAGTATGTTAAGGCATACAAATTACTTAAAAAAAGTATATATCACAAGTGATACCTTCTGCCAGATATTAAATAGGACAAGATAAACAAGGTCGGTATCACCACTTTCAGTTGCCTTTGTCAGAGCTGTATCCTCCTCCCCAATGCTGAGTAGTAGAGGAACCTGAGACAAGGATCAAAATCTCTTACAAAATGACTAAAGCTGTCATTCAGTTCATCTAAACAAGAAAACACATTTTAGAGAGACATTTCTCCAACAAAGGATCAAAAGAAAGAAAAAGAATGAAATAGTGGAAAAGAAAGAAGAAAGAACCTGCTTGGAAGAACGTGGTTCATGTTCAACAAGCATAGCAGCCAATTTACGTCTGCCACTCTTATCTGCATGAGCAGCAACTGCTGCATAAGATATACTTTTGCATATTTTCAGCTGGACAAAAACAACAAAAACAAAACAAAAAAAATGCTGTCATACTTTCCAATTAGATGGCATAGAATGAACAAAATCATCACACTTTCAGGCCAAACTAAACAACTACAAAAGATAACACAAACCTTATCAAGTAAAATTTCAAGGAGAGTGACATCAGGAATTGCTAAAGCAGCTGTTATCTTTGCACATGCCCAGTGCATTATCACCACTTCCTATACAAACCCAAGCAATGAAAATGAGCATATAAATGATGTCATAGTTTCCAGTTCCAAATAGAAGGCAGCAGTTAAGTCGAAACAAGTCAACTAGTTTTCAATAAGAGTACGAAACACCTAGGCTATAAATGTATCTCAATTTCCCCTTCAAATAGTTACTAAAAAGGATTCCAATTATATGAGAAACCATATCACTGCAAAATTCTCCCACCAGCATTGCAAAGAGCCTCTTTTTCAACATTAAAAAGAGAACAGACCATTGGCATAGAGTCAAATACTAAACCACTAGCAGTGAACCCAAGATGTAAAAAAATATTTTAATAGAACTTGAATGAACTTAGATGGAAAAGTCAGTGTATTTGAGCTACACAGTGATTGGAAATTAACTAGTCTCTAGTAGGTGATCTAATAGTAGTTACAACTCCATCATACATGTCCTTTATCACATCAATATGCCATTTGTCACACTTTTTTTCTGTTATATCCACCATATATTACATCTTTACACACCATATTGTAAGCTTTTTCCAGATATATAAAAACCATACAAACATCCTTTCCTCTGTACTATTCTATTAATCTTCTTAATAAATAGGTCGCTTCCATAGTTGATCTACCAGACAGAAATCCAAACTGATTCTTTGATATTATTGTTGTAACTTCTTAAGCGATGCTCAATCACACTCTTCCACAATTTCATTGTATGACTCATCAACTTAAAGCCTCTTCAGTTGTTGCAATTTTTGGTATTTTCTTTAGTTTATATATAGGGGTTGTTTGGCATTTTTTATCTTAGAAATTTGTTAGTGCAGGGGCAGAGCCAGGATTGCATTATTGGAGGGGCCAAAAGCAAGGCATTGGGCAAGTCCAAGCGGTCATTGGGTCAAGTCAAGTTCAAAAAACTAAAATCAACAAACAGCTATTAAAAATAGGCTAATGAAAAATGAAAACACTCTAAATGTATTACAAAAACTTGAACTTCAATGATTCACTACTAGAAAAATGCAAATCAAAAGTTATATCACATAATTAATCTAATACATGAATGGTAATGAATTACAAATCGCACTGACTGCATAAATTTTTGAAGTTGTCTCGTACTAATGCAGAAAAGAGGAAAATAGTTAAGCGAAGAGAAAAATTATGGTACAAATCCTTAAAAAGTGCATATGATATATGCCCTTCCGAAACTACACCACAATTATTTGTAATAAAATTAGAATAGTTAATAATTGTTCTTACCACAATAGTTAATTATATTTTTATGTTCATAACATAACTATAATGGTTTGTTACATAACTACAATAGTTTGTAACTATGATTTTTCTTGTGGTGCATCCTTTCATAACTCCAATGATCTGTACCTAACACCACAAATAAATCACAAAAACTCCATAGAATTTATAACTCAACAGAAATTTATACACACATATGGGGATTATTTGGAACTATACAAATTACTTAAAAAAAGTATATATCACAACCCCCCCCCCCCCCTCCATCTCTCCGCCCCTATCGGTATGCTTGGTGTAGCTTCTACTTACAACTTATGAGACAGAAATAGTTTAAATAAGCTGAAAAAAGTTGATTATTGAAAAACAGGAGGAGAAGGGCTTTTAGCTTCTACTTTAGCGATCTTGCATGTTTATCATCACAACCTCAGCATCTACCATCTTTCTAATATCAGGAGTACATCCACACATCACAAATCCCCCCCCCAAAATGTCGGTCATTGTTCATAATCAACTTTAGTCAAACCTTTCTTTTTTACAAGTGTGCAATATAACGCCATCCATAGTGCATATTTTACTTCATTTATTTCTTCATATTTTGATTTTTCATTTCTGCATTGTCACAAATCTCTAGATTATTTTTTCCTATGTTTCTTCAAGCCTTGGAGTTCTCAATTTCAGGCAACACCACGGAAAGAGGAAATGTATTGAAAATAATGCTTCCCATGTCCCTGAAAATCACTATCATGCATAAAAGATGCATTTTCTGGCTAACAAAAGGAAAAATAAAGCAGCATACATACAAACCATGAATTAAGAATTGATGAGATTTGACAACTGAACTTACTTGGTTCATACCAAGGTACTCTGATATCCGAAGTGCAACAACGTGATGGTGGGCATTAATTAAACGACCAACAAGAACTGATGGAGTAAGCAACTGAAAGAGCAAGGATATTATGATAATAGCTAAGATTTCAAAAAAAGCAAAACAAAAGTTCAGAAACCTGAATTTAGTAAGCTTTGAAGACCTTGTATTGTTGAATACTAAGAGGGATGCCAATATCATAGTTGCGTACAGCATTTAAGACCCGTAAAGTTTTACACATCTCTTGGAAGCGATCACGTTGAAAGTGGCTGCCAAAGACCACTAGATATCATTATCAATAGCAGAAATCAGAAAAAATGGCTGCTCTTTTGTGAGTTTTGAAGCTACATTAAGCTATACAGTCACAACATGCATATAACAAAAGTTTAAACCATGTGACATTGAGAAAAGAAAGCAACGATGCAGCAAATACAAACTCTCTTGGAAGCGATCACATTGAAAGTGGCTGCCAAAGACCACTAGATATCATTATCAATAGCAGAAAACAGAAAAAATGGCTGCTCTTTTGTGAGTTTTGATGCTACATTAAGCTATACAGTCACAACATGCATATAACAAAAGTTTAAACCATGTGATATTGAGAAAAGAAAGCAACTCTGCAGCAAATACAAACTCTTGTGCTCTTTCACTAAACTTAAGCAAGAAAATATTTATCTAGTAGGTAAAAATGATTTTCCTAGAACGCCGATTGCAAGATATAACAGAGGTGTCAGAGAATCAATTTGGGTTTATACCTGGCAGGTCAACAATGGAAGCGGTCTATCTTTTGAGGAGAGTAATAGAAAAGTATAGAAAAAAGAAAAGAGACATTCATATGGTGTTTATCGACCTTGATAAAGCATATGATAGAGTGTCCCGAGATATAATATGGTGGGTGTTAGCGAAGAAATGGGTAACAAAAGGTTATATTGATGTGATTAGAGACATGTATGAAGGGGTGGTGACCACTATTAGATCACCTGCTGGAGAGACAAATGAATTTCCTATCACTGTAGGGTTACACCAAGGATCTACCTTAAGTCCTTATCTTTTTGCTTTAGTTATGGATGAGTTGACGAGAAATATCCAGGATAACGTGTCATGGTGTATGTTTTTTGCAGACGATATAGGTAGTGGATGAGACTAGAGAAGTAGTTAATACAAAATTGGAGATTTGGAGAAAAACTCTTGAATCTAAAGGATTCCGGATAAGCAGAACTAAGACAGAGTACATGGAGTGTAAATTTAGTAACAGTAACAATGAAAGTAGAGAAGAAGTGAAGATTGAGAACCAAGAACTGCCTAAGAGTGAACATTTTCGTTATTTAAGGTCGATTATCACAACAGCGGAGGAGATTGATGCGGATGTAGCCCATAGGATTAAAGCGGGATGGTGTAAGTGGAAAATTGCGTCTGGGGTACTGTGTAATAAACGAATACCCACTAGACTTAAAAGGTAAGTTCTATAGGACGGCTATTAGACCAGCGATGTTGTATGGGACGGAGTGTTGAGCAACCAAGAAACAACATGTAGATAAGATGAATGTGGCTGAGATGAAAATGCTAAGGTGGATGTGTGGCAAGACTAGAAAGGACAGAATTAGGAATGAGTGTTCGGGAATGGGTAGGAATAGTAGTGATAGAAGATAAGTTGAGAGAGAATCGATTGAGATGGTTTGGTCATATTCAACAGAGACCAACAGAGGCAGTAGTGAAGAGATGCGATGCTGTAACAGTAGATGGAAGTGTTAGGGGACGGGGTAGACCTAGATTAACGTTGGTTAGCATTGTAAATAGAATATGAATCTACTTAATTTGACTAATGAAATGGCCTTTGATAGGGCTGCGTGGAGAAGACGGATTCATGTATCCGACCTCATTTGATGGAACTTTAAGCTTGGTTTGGTTTGGTTTACTAATAGAATGTAGTTATTATAAAAATAATTTGTCTATAAAATTTGGTTATATACTAATAATTTCCAGTATTTATTAAACCAAACACAGTATATTCTTGGTTATACATTGATGTATTTGATATGAACCCCTTGGGTAGAACTCACCGTTGAAAACCAGCTTGCAAGGGGAGAGTGCCCAAAGGCTTATTTGCACATGGCCAAGGCCTATGGTAACCAATGTGGGATCGTAGCAATAGTCAACCATACATTTTAGTTTTGCAACATCTAAGTTCCCTTCTAAATCTCCCACAGTCAGCCCAACAATTAATAAAAAGAGGAAAAGAATTAAATAAAAAAATAAAAAAAATTTGGGGGGGGGGAGGGGAAGAAAAAGAAGAAGGGAAAACAAGTGGGAAAAAATAAACAAACGGACAATATAAAATGTGGCTTTATTGATTGTTTGTGCATATCTTCCATATATAAAGCATTAACGTAGCTTGAGCGATGAAGATCATGGAAAGAAGAAAAAAAGTAAATCCAGAATTTCACATGAAGCACATTTCGGGTATCAAGAATTAAAGATTTGGAATTATTTTGAGTCTTCAGGTCATTATAGTAGGCTTTAGTAATTAAGAGTATAATGGTAATTCCAATATTGTTAGACATGGGTTGTAGAGGTCGCCCATGGGTTTTATTATTTTGGGCCAACTTATTAAATGCGTCATTATATATGAATTTTATTATATCTAAAATAATGTTAGGCCTCGTTTGGCAAGAGGCTATTTTAGCCAATTAGCCAAAAAGTTACTAAGGCCTTGTTTGGGAACAGGCTTTTTTAGTAACTTTTTGGCTAAAATGTGATGTAAAAAAAACTAATATGTTTGGAATGACTTTTTGATTTTTTATGAAAAGATGTGCAAAAAGTAAAGAGAAAATGGAATCTTTGACTTTTTGATATGGATTGTTGGCTTTTTGATTTTTTTAGTAACTTTTTGACTTTTTGGCTAAAAGGGACACTTGCCAAACGAGGCCTAAATTAGCCAAAAAGCCAACATCCCATACCAAAAAGTCAAAGATTCTCTTTTCTCTCTACTTTTTGCACATCTTTTCGTAATTAGCCAAAAAGTCATCCCAAACATACAAGTTTTTTTTACCTATCTTTTTAGCCAAATAGCCAAAAAGTTACTAAATTAGCCTGTTCCCAAACGAGGCCTTAGTGGTCAAAAGTCCAAATTTCCTATTTTGATATTGAAGTAGAATTAGAATTCATTAAAGTTTCCTATTACGATTGAAGTAGAATTGAAAGTTATAGTAGGTCTAGAATATTAGTAGTTACCATTTTTTTTTTTTTTTTAAAAATGGCTAGCAAGATTTTTTTTTTTTTTTTGATAAGTAATAAGATTTATTGAAAAAATATCAAGATGATGCAAAGAATACAAGAGCCCCAAAAGAGCAAATCAAAACCCACCTAACCAACTACATGATCCAAAAAATCTAAGAAAGAAAACAAATCCAGATCGACTTTACACTCCAACCAACTATACAAGATAACTAAGAACCGATTCTGCAGCCCTAACACCGAATGCTCAATTTCTTGGAAAGTTCTCCTGTTCCTTTCCAGCTACACCAACCACATCAAACAAAAAGGCACCAACAACCATACCCGTCGCCGACACCATTAAACCAGAGCCCCCTCCAACTCCACAACATGTCCACAACCCCCTTTGGTTGCACCCACATAATCCCAAAAAGAGAACAAGCCAACCCCCAAAGTCACGAAACAACAAAACAATGAAGAAATAAATGATCAACTGACTCTGCATCAACACAACACATACAATAACGGTTGACTAACACATGCCCCCAACGAACTAGATTATCAATTGTGAGATTTCGGCCGAAGGCAGCCGTCCATAAAAAGAAAACCACCTTAGAAGGAACATGAGGCACCAAATACTCCTCCAAGGAAACACACCGCCCACCACCCCCACCAAACTCCGATAAAAGGATTGAATAGAAAACTGACCTTTGGCACCTGCCACATTCCAAACCAACACATCATCTCCCCTACCCAAGAAGCCCAACCCATATAGAAAGCCGAACAACTCCCCCAACTGGCCCTCTTCCCAATCTTGAACTTCACGCTGAAGCTGAATATCCCAAAAAGCACCACCTCTCCACCCCCCAAACAAGAAGCAACCGTAGCCTCCCGATCCCTTGCAATGCTAAAAATCAAAGGGAATTGCACCTCCAACACCATCTCCCCACACCATCTGTCCTTCCAGAATCTAAGCTTCTCCCCAGTCCCCACTCGAAAATTCACCCTCTTCCAAAACTCCCCCCTCCCCAAACAAATTTCTTTCCAAAAGCCCGTCCCATGAGACCCCATCACATCCCCCCAACCGCCAATTCCCCTCAACAAACCCAAACTTAGAGGCCACCACCCTACGCCAAAAGCGATCCCGCTCGCCAGCAAACCGCCACAACCATTCCCCTAACAAAGCCCTATTAAACTGCACCAAACTCCGCACCCCCAAACCGCCCACCTCCTTGGGGCAACAAATCCGCCCCCAATCAACCAAGTTATATCTAAAATCCTCTCCTCCACCCCCCACAAAATATCCCTCTAAAGTGTCTCTAGGCGATCAGCCACAGAGTCGGGAATAACATGCAATGACATAAAGTCGGAAGACTGCTCAACACACTATTAATCAACGTCAACCTTCCTCCGTTCGATAAATATTGATGCTTCCAACCTGCCAAACGACATTGTACCCGCTCCACCACCCCATCCCATACCCCTTTCGCCTTGAAACTAGCACCCAGAGGCAAGCCCAAGTAAATCACTGGTAAATTGGCCACCTTACAGCCTAAAACCACCGCTAACACGGGCAACCTCTCAACCTCTCCTACCGGGATCAACTCGGACTTAAATTAATCTGTAAGCCCGAAACTACCTCAAAACAAATTAGAACACATCGAAGGAAGCCCAACTGCACCACATCCACATTGCAAAAAACCAAAGCATCATCTGCATACAGTAGGTGAGACACCCCCATTGCTGTCGCAATTGACGAACCCACACTAAAACCTTGCAGCAAACCTTCATGTACAGCCCTGGACAGCAATCTACTAAAAGCCTCCATAACTAGGATAAACAGCAGGGGAGAATTATAGTCCTTATAGAATTAGAAGAGTCTTTAGCCTATATGATGTAGGACAATTACGGACAGCAACAAATCTGGGCTTTGGAGCTGATTTTAATTGGATTTTATTGCTGAAATTGCAATAAGAGTATAGGGTACAAGTAGGGTTTGTTTAGGGTAATAAATAGGTAAGAGTTTAAGCATGAAAAGTTGGGATTTTAGCACTGT